AGGTGGAGGCTCGCTGGAACGTAAGTGACTTCTCAGGGGCTCTGAGTAGTGTCTTGTTCTTCGTACTTGCTCTTCACCCTCCCTCCCCCATGTTTAGTTCAGCTCAAGGAGAAAGGAGCTTACTTTTCCAGTTGCAGTCATTTACTCGCTTCTGCCCACCTTCCATAGCGGTAAAACATTGCTGTTTCATTGTCGTTTTCCGTATTTCTGGTGTCAGTTTGCACCCAGCTAAGGTTTGATCCCCAGCTCTTCAATCACCTTTAATTACATGCAGCGGTCAGTAACTGGACAAACAAATGGAGGCTCTTTAAAACCAAACCAAACCCACTCACATGTAGGCTTGACCTCTTCAACAGCTGTTAGAATGAGTTGAGAGAGAGTAGCTAAAATGCCTTCCACCTCGTTGATTCATTCCTCCACCACATCAATTAGATGGAGTTTTAAACGTGGGGAGCGTGAAGGCGGGAGCAGAAGAACCTTTCTTGGACACCGAGGCAAAGTGTATCATGAGTCAGTTCACTGGTAACACACGAGCAGTGGCCGGTACAGCCGGGGGTCACGCTGCCATCCAGAGGGATGTCACAAGGGAGAACTGGTTTTCAGTTTCAAGTATGCTGAGGTCAGTGCACGCCGAGGCAGCGGTGAGCAGTTTTAAGAAAATTTTTTTTTTTCAAATCTATCAGCTTGTATTTTCCTTACAAAGGTGCTGTGGAAGCATGCAGATCAGATCCTGATGCCACTTAACAAAGAAGCCAAAATACTGAATTATTTTCTTGTCTTAAATTTGTGTATCATACCTTTCCTTTGAAGTAAATGAGGGAAAACAGAGCTCTATCAGCAATGCATTCTTGATTTTTTAAAATGATTTTGTTGGGGGGTGAGGTGGGTTGTTTTTTAATACTTAACACTGAAAGCTTCTGATCTGTCAGCACATTGCACTAGACCATGATTTTGATTTCGTGAAAGTCAGGAAACATTCAGCACTTTATTCTTGCAGAACACACATTCTTCTGCGGCAGGAACTGAGTTACACCAAAAATCATAACGTGTTCATGTTACGTATCTTATAATGGCCATTAACACCCACACCAGCCTTCACTGTTAGCATACAACATTCTTGAATAAATCCCAGATTTCTCATATATGAAATTCAATGAAAGACAAAAAAATCCAATCCCTGTTTTACAAATTTATTATTGTAATGAGGGTATTTTCTTAAATGAGACTTGCCTTTCAAATAATCTCAGCTACAAAGACCAACAAATTCGGAGCTGCAAAGCAGAAAATTAAGTCTGTTTCAATAAGGTATCATTTTTTACAGCTACAAAACTGTGTTGTCTCACCACGAAGGTCCCCAGCTTTCTAGAAACGTTTCTATACCTTAAATCCCTCAAATTAACTATAATGCTAAAACCACACCTCATCATATCCTCATGAAAGATAACCTGGTTTTAAAATTGTGGCACCAACATCACAAGGTTTAGAAGCAAAATCTGCTATTGCACTGTAATAATGTCGATACAGAATAACACTTCCCACTCCTCAAGGATGATGAGGTATTGCTAGTCTTACGCAGTCTGATTTGGGAGTAGCAGTCCTATAGGGTGAGTGACACCGCGACACCACACGTCAGTTTGCCCTACAGTCGCAGTGCCAGCCCGGCACTGCCTGCTGCGCTAGGCTGCGGTCCAGCAGGCTTCACTGCTGCGCGTCCCTCAGTCCATTCCAGATGTGGTGATTTTGTCTCAAGGAAGTTTATCATGGTGGCTCTTCACATAGTCTGAAGCTGATAAACTCTTGGACCTTTTTTCAAAAGATAGCCTTGATCATTTAGGGATCCAATAAAGCTTTCAAAATCGGACACCTGGGAAAAGACAAAAATAAATATCAAATTAGGACAGTGACATTTTATCTGACAAAAAGCACCATAAACAGTTTAAAAGAACTTAGTGAAAAGAAAAGCTTAGTGTCACGGGTTTGAGTCTGGTGGCGTTTTTGGAAGCAACACGCAGGGTGCTCTCGGGGATGACTCTTGCAAAATGTCGAGAGCCTTCCCCAGCCCCAGGTAAAAGTCAGACCCACCTCTGGCCAAGACCAGGCCACTCAGCACCTCTGCAATTTAAGCACCTCTGTATTTAAGAGACAAGCCTATTGAACCAGTCTCTGTATCAAATTAATTGTCACTACTTTTCACTTTCTAATCTGACATACAGTTCTAAGTTTTAAATTGGCATTTAAAGCTTTGTATCATGAAGCAAAAAAAGCAGAATTAGCTATCGATATTTTTGTTTGGCTGAACTCCTCCAGTACAGCGTGCAAATCAGTTACAGGATAAAACATCTGTGGCCATGTATCCCACATGATGTTCCTGTCAGGATACAATATTAGGACACTTGAAGCAGGAGTGAAAACCCAAGAGGCATAGTTGGATCAGAGAAGGCCACACAAAGTATCACAGCAGTGCTGAAATAGAACAGCCTAAACTTAGGAATTAAACTAGGTCTGTGTCCCCTGGGGAGCCAGAGGAGGTGAAGCATCCTGCCACCAGAACTGCCTTTCACAAAACAAAGCAGAATCTTCTTAAGGGCCAGCTGCAGAAGCCGAACCAACCCTTACTAGTGCAAGGTGTTGTTAACAGCTAGGGAAGATCAGTAAATCAAAGGCAACTCAGGAAGAGTGATCAGCCTTGAAAGCAGCAAGCACTGCTTATTTCCATTCACTGCAGAGAGGCACAACAGGTGCATCTTTTCCACTTGGTATTTTTCAGTAAATAATTTCGACTGGTCTTGCAGTTTGTTGAAATGCTTGATTTCCAAACTTACTCGAATTTGTAGCTCCTTCGCTATCTGTCGAAGCTGTTGCAAGTCAAAGAGATTGTTGTAAGTTCTCTCTGCAATACCATTAAGGGCAGAAACAAATCTTTTTGCTTGTGACCGATTGCTCATCCCAGACCCATGCTGTGAGCGTTCAAAGTCCAGTTTTCCAAACTCATCGGAGTAGGTTCCCAGCATGCTAAAAATATATTTGTAAAGATCAAGAGGTAAAGATCAGGAGGTAAAAGCAAGAGTACCTGAATTTGCTTCCTGAAACATAACTTCTTCAGAAAGCTGTCAGAACCCACATAGGAAACCATCCTATAGTAAAAAGCCACTTTTTAGGGGACTTAGACTAAGCATCTGTCCAAATCGCTTTTAAACTTAAATTGTTCAACTGCAACAATAGAAACTAATCACATAAGAGGAAAAAAAAGCCTTTGGCAGCACCTTGTGTCTAAGTTACTGTGCACAAATACATATAACTGCTACAGTGATACAACTCAAATGCTCAAGCCATCATATTCAATGTAGGGTTGCTATCAGTTTTAAAGAGCTAACAAATCTGAATGTTGGTATCACGGGCCTAGAACTTCATAAAGTAATTTCTTCATTGTGTTTGTGTACATACATTTAAAAACAAATTCTGAATTAATAGCACTGTGATGCTTTATTTATTTCTGAAGCAGCATGTATTACCTATACTTCATTATTTCTATCACATCCTCAGCATCTTCCTTTGTAGATTTCTCCCTTAATTCCAGCCTTGATCGTGCCTTAAAACAAAACAAAACAAAAACCCACAAAAGTATATTTAAGATACTTTGCTGATATGAAAGAAGGCTACAATTGCTCTACCACAAGCATACATTTTTAGGAGCAGCAATGGAACCTGGGCCTACAGGATTTAGAGGAAGATTCCTCTATTTTTTCTACAGCATTTCAATGTCACCTTCTGCATACTTGCATTATTAGGCCATAGCTTGGAGTTTACTTGTTCTTTGGAAGGAGCAGATCACAACTAGTGTTATTAAGGCATAGCATTAGGGAAAACAGCAGCAGTTCTCAAGACATGCAACAGCTGGTGCCTGCCTGCACCTACTTTTTCCTCCTTTTGGGAGAATGTCATAGATTCTCTTTCCACTCTCTCAAGGATGTTTTACTTTACAAGAGGCTTTAAGAAACATTATTTCATAAGCACTCATAAGTCTCCTGCATTCTCAATTTTTAAATTTTTTTTTTTTCATAGGATATCAGTGGTAATTTAGGAATAATCTCTTTGCTTTCAATCCCTTAAGTATTACAGCTTGCATTTACCTCCGTAAGTCGAATAAGTGATTCTAACTGCCTCGTGGTAATTGGTGTGCTGTCTGCTCCTTGGTTCTGTTTACGGAGCTCAAGGTAGAATTCCTGGAGGACCTGAGCAGCTTCTGGAGATAGATTTGGGCACACATACTGCCGAGCATATCCGACATACTTCCTCAGCAACTGATGTGGAATGGGATCAAAGTTTTCGCCTGGTAAGATCTAACCCAATTGCAAAGAGGTTAGGTTTCTGTCTGTCAGAGCCTTGTGCAATACAAGTTTTAACACATTTATTTGCCATGCTTTATCTGGTGAAATCATCACTGTAAATAAAGGGTTTTAGTGCTTCATATATGAACCATCTACTTAAGAAATCCATAAATTATGCTTAGACATGTAATTAAACACAACTGGCTATTTTATGAAAAGCAGCCAAAGATAAGAAGTGCCAAATATGATTTAACTATATCAATAATTCTTTCTCAAAAAGAGAAAATCAAATTTCCCAGTTGTTATAAGCTATAGCTCTGCAGAAGATTAAACCATCACTATTGATATCCCATTTCCAAAAGTGTCTGGCTCCAGTAGGGGATATTTCTCCTAAGACCTGGCATGGCAGAAACAGCCCTCAAACTGATCACTTAAGCTTAGTGAGAAATGTTTCCTCTCCTATAATCCCCAAATCTGCCATGAGTTGCAGATACCCAAGGATCTGTTTACACATTGCTTTACTCAGACTCGATACTTCACAGCACATCATGTTGTATCAAATTATTATATCTGGTCTAGTTCTGTGGCTCTTTACTGGAATATAAAACACAGCAATTTGCTTTGATGTATCTCAGGCAAAGTGTCTTCCCACTACTGCAACCAAAATAAAAACCAGCTCAGCTAATAAATTCTCTTCTGTGTCAAGACGAAGATGGCTTGAGACACACCTTTAACAGCTCCAGCAGGGTGGGCAATGTTAGCTACAATAGACAATTGGCAGAAACTGGTGGCTGGAGCCTTAAATCCTTACTCTCCAGTTCATCGCCAATTATCACGAGAAGTATGGGAGTGGGAGACTGAGAATATCCAGCAGGTCAGGGTTCCTGTGTCCCAATGCAAGAAACACCACAAGAAGGGGCACAGCACCAGTCACAGGACAAGTCCTACCTTTAGTCTTTCAAGCAGCGGTTGATCTGAAACAACTTCAAGGACAGAGCGGTCCTTGGTACAAGTCACAACAGCGCTGCTGCGTGCTGCCTGCTTTCCAGCTCGGATTGCCATTACGTGCTCAGACAGCAAGTGATCATGATCTTCATTTGGGGTGTCCAGCAAAATGAAAACTAGATCAAATCTCGACAGTAAAGCACTCCCCATCCTAGAGTTAAGACAAGAAAACCAAACAGTGCTCATAAAGAACTGGAAAAATTAAAGCAATGCCACTCCACTTCAAGGACACTTAAAAAATCCTGTCCCATTCATTCAGAGTAAAGCAGAACAGCAATTTCTCTCTCAAAAGCCATTAAAAATTATTAGAGTAAGTTTGTATTCAAGCTCCAGGAAACTAGAAAGCAATTATATACAAGCCACAAGACTGCCAGAAGCATCCACTACTGAGCATGAACTACACAAGCAGCATTTCAGCGAGTGCTCACTTCAAGTTCTCAGACACCGTTTTGGCTTTGTTGTAATGTCCTCCAACTGGGTTTGCTGCAGCAACAATAGACGTCCGAGCTGGCAAACTGCAGACGATGCCAGCCTTGGCAAGACTGATGCTTTGCTGTTCCATGGCTTCCAACAAAGCCTGATGCTGGTTTCCCATCTTATCGAATTCATCTATTCCACAAATTCCTGGAAGCAATTAACACAGGATGAAGACTTGTTAGAAAAGACATTAACCGATGGACATGTATGCTACAGTCCAGTGCTACATCAGAAGTCCAGCCTAGAGTACTAGGGGCTGCAGAAGATCAAGTCTCCATTTCAGAAAGGTTTGTTTTCATTTCACGGTGTTTCAGCTGAACCATTATGGAGCTGCCCTGGTTGCAGAAGCAGCGTCTTGACTACACATTAAGATGACAACCAAGGCTTTTAAAAACAGAAATAGACGACAAACATCACAAACCACCTGTTTTTTAAAATTAGTTCAGCATCTGCACTTAAGTCAGAAATTTCTCAACTAGGAAACTCCAGTTCTTTAACCCATTAAGTAAGGCTGGTGTGTGAATTGCAGAACTCCAGCTTCATACACTTCCTAAGCCCAAGGAAAGCAGGAAACACCTCCAGAGAAGTCACTGGAGAAACCTGGAACTTCCCAAGGTGTGGGAAGCTAATTCACGCTTCAGATTTAAATTTTTAGTTCACAGTTATGCAAGGACTGTAGTTAATCTTAGACTCAGTAGCATACACACCCCCATCCCCCATGTACACTCATACAAAACCTGGAGCATCACATGTATTACCTTGATCTCCAAGCACTAAAGCACCAGCTTCCAAAGCAAAATCTCCAGAAGCACCATCTCGAGACAGTGTAACAGTCAGGCCAGAGCTGGTGGAAGTATTACCACAAACATACACACCTCGAGGAGCAACATTACATACTGCCTAGAAGAGAAAAATACTTTTTCCCTCCTCAAGGTGAAGAATTTTATAATCTTAATCTACAGAAACAATTCAAAGTAAATCCACATTTGTTTTTTTCTACTTAACGTGGCCCAACAGTGAAGTTGTAACTCATCGCAACCCCAAGAGACATACTTTAGCAAAAAAGCAGGAATAACTTTGGCCACAAAACTTGTGGCTGTGCCTAAGCATTTCAACACATTCAGTTTAAAATGAAAAAAAAAAATTGTATTACTAACTGATTTGATCACAGTCATGCAGAAATGCACACCAAGATTAAAACCCAAATGCAGCAACAGGTGCCTCTCCCAAAGAGCCAAGACCTATGCTAGCAACACGGGAATAGGGTAAGAGAATGGAAGTATCCCTCACAGAAAGTGAGAGCTGAGGTATCTGAAGTCACGTTAGTTCCAAGAGCATGCTTTATCTGACAGTGGATCCGCTAAAAGAAGATAGGAAAAAAAAGAGTGAAACTTCCCACAGGGAAAAGGATTGGTTAAAAAAAGACAGCAAATAAACAACAAAGCTATATAATAAGGGCGAGACAGCAAGCCAATACTTGAAAGCCCAGAGACTTGACCCAGTATACCTGCACTGGTGAGTGTTTTAAGAGGCCTGATCCCTCCTGCAAGGCTCCCTGGAAGGAAAGGGCAGCAGAGGAGCCCCGTGGGTACCACCCTGTATTTGAGGCATCCTACGTGAAAAGATAACTCCAGCCAAGCTCAAGCAACCCTTTGGTCTTAGTACAGCTATCCTACCATGCTTACAGGAAGTCAAGATAAAAAGAAATTTGAGTAAAATACAACCAGACAATAGGAATAAATCAATCCATACTTGCAACATTTGACTTTTCCCTAATCCTGGATCTCCAACGATCAGAACATGTGGATCTCCTCTCACCGGGATTCTGTTCTTGTCATCCACAAACTTCTGACATCCTCCAAATAACGCCAGGACCAAACCTGCCTTTACAACCTGTAGTGGTATATACCAACACTAATAACTATTTGATCACGGTGACCAATGCTGAAAGCTCCCTAAAATCGGCTGTGATAACCCTTTCACTCTGGATGGCTGAACTTAAAGAGTATAGGGCTGCCACCTCCTCGTCACTGAAGGTGACTGTGAGCCACACTCACCTGTAAACACAGTATGTGTCCCTCTTCCTCACCCTAGATAAGCTTTAGACATACGTTAGGACTTTACTGCGGCATAAACACTTCAAACTGAAGTTTCAGCCACAGGTGTTTAATTACTTACCTCGTGGCCATAGATTGCAGGACAAAGAGAGCTGAAAAACAAAGAACATAATAACATCAGGAGAATACAAATCTTGTATTACTATGAAATAATCGCTTGCTCTGTCTCTCCTGGCACAGAAAAATCTCTGTAAACATGTAAAACTTCTGGTGAGCTGTTGCTAAATTTCTAACAGAATCAGTTTAAATCAGCAGCATCATTTTTTTTTTTACATTTTCAGACAACCAGATATACTTGCAACAAGAAAAGCCTTTCGTATGAGTTCACATAGAGGAGAATCAGTCTCCCAGTGGTTTGTGCATCCATTCCTATCTTAGTCAAGTAACTCTGCTTTTAAAGGTGCTAGTTTCCTGTTCTTTGACTCTACTGGGAGGGCCTGAGAGATGTTTCAGCTAGAGGAGTACTTTTCGGTCCGAATTGAGGGTCTTTCACACCCTTGCACTCTGTTCTTGCACCTCTTTCCTCTGTTGCAGGAGAGCAGAGTGGAGAACAAAACAGTACTCATGAGCTGAATTTACCCAGCGAGGAGCAAAATTAATTAATTGCTTTTTTAACCCATAGCTTTCTGTTTCAGGGTTGAGCTAAACTACTTTTAACTTCCTTAAATCCCTCTCAAAGTCCTAATATCCCCACTACAATGCTTTCACTTCCTCCCAAGTCCCCTGCCTAACAGGTTTGTTAGGTCTCTGTGGATCTCTTGCACAAGCTTTAGACATTTCATAGCTGTCAAGTTTGTCTGAAGGCAGTCGTGCAGGCTCAGAAGTGTAATCCTAGACCCAGCCCAGGCCTGACGCAACTTACTTCACAATGAGCCTGAACAGATTTTCCTCAGCTTGAATTTCTTGAACAGCATAAAGATCTTTAAGTGAAAACTCCATGAATGATCTTTGAAAAGTCTCATCATCAAAATTCTTTGGTTTTTGTCCTTTACTGTTGCTGACAGAATTTGCTTCAATATACAGCAAGAACATACACTTGTCATTCTTATTTTTAGAAGCTCCTGTTAGAAAAAGTGAAAAAGAATGAAGGAATATTTTCTTCTGTCATTAAGTACCAACATTATTTGCAAATGGCACATGGTAATTCAGAAATATTAAGCACAGCCATGTGCAAAATATTCATATTTAAGTAATGGAACATCAGCATTTTCAAAAATTGATGCAAAGTAAGTTTCTAGTTACATTTGCTCTTTAAAGTTCCCTCCATTTAGGTAAACAATAAACGATTTTTGCTGGACTAGGAGAGTAATGAGGTCAGGAAGGCCAAGGCACAGCTGGAGCTAAACGTGACAAGGGATGCAAAGAATAACAAGAGCAGCTTCTGTAGGCATACCAACCGGAAAAGGAAAGGTAAAGAAAATTTAACCCTCCTGATGAGCAAGAATGGCAAGCTAGTAACAACAGATGAGGAGAAGGCTGAGGTTCTCATTTACTTTTCTGCCTGTCTTCACTGGCAACCTCTTGCCTCACACCTCCCAAGTCGAAGGATCACAAGATGGGGAACAAGGGGACAAAGTAGGTGAAGACAAGGTTTGAGACCACTTGAGGAACCTGAACATACACAAGTCTATGGGACCTGATGGGACACATCCCAGAGTCCCGAGAGAACTGGCTGATGGAATCGCCAAGCCACTCTCCATGATATTTGAAAGATCATGGCAGTCAGGTGAAGTCCATGGGGACTTGGAGAAGGGAAACGCTACAATCCTCTTTAAAAAGGGTAGAAAGACCCTGGGGAGACCTGTCAGCCTCGCCTCTGTGCCTGGGAAGATCACAGAACAGATCCTCCTAGAAGCTCTGCTAAGGCACATGGAGGACAGGGAGGCGATCCAAGGCAGCCAGCATGGCTCCACCAAGGGCAGGTCCTGCCTGACCAACCTCCTGGCTTTCTACAATGGAGTGACTGATCAGTGGGCAAGGGAAGAGCAGTGGATGTCATCTCTCTGGACTTCTGCAAGGCCTTTGACACAGTCCCCCACAAC